TAAAATTTTTAAACCTAGAAATCCTAGAGCTGACGATTTTTCCAAGACCCCTACTTCCCCAATTCATTGATAAGTGATTATAACATATTTTCTGTCAATCTTTCATTACATTTCATAAGATTTCAACCTAAAATCTAGGATTTTCATGGTAGAAATTGGGGGATTGGGTAAAATTAGAAATTTTTGTACAATTAAAATTTAGACCTCAAATTGAGCTTGGATTTCTAAACAAATTGCATAACTGGGCTCGGGGGTGAATGGATAATCAGGTTTTGGTCCAAATTTCGGGTTTTAACCAAGCGAGCCCAGAGCCGATTTTTGACTTTTTGGGAAGAAGTTTGAAACTTCTAAATTTATGCATTATAATTGATTCCTTTAGCAATATTTGATATTATTGAGTCAATTGTGGTTAGATACGAGTAGTTTGGAGGCAGATTTTAGGGAAAAAAGCCCGGTAGAGCTCCGAATTAACTGTAGAGTGAGGTAAGTGTTGAGTTTAACCTTGATTTGAGGGAATTAGGAACTCTCGAACTATGTGCTATGTGAAATTCATGTATTGCGGGGTATATGCAAGGTGACGAGTGCTTATACGCCATCGAATTACTTGTTTTCCCTAATTTTTCACTTTTCCTTGAATATCCCCTTCTCTTCTTTAACTGTTATGTGCCCTAATTACCTTTCATGCTTTAATTGCTACTTGTCAATCATTGTTTCTTCTGTTAATAATGTTGAACCTCTTCATGTTTTCATGACTTGGTGTTATTTGCCCTAATTGACATACTTGAACCTTCTAGTTGTCATTTAATGGGATGTCTCGCCATGTAGTATTTCATACGTGGATTTCCAAGTTGGTACAAGGTTTACTTTCTGTTTCAACTTTATATTCATTAGTTATGGTAGTTCTTGCGATTTGAGAATTTAATTGTACTCAGTGAGTAATTGTACTGATATGGTGGGATCAGGTTGCACGCCGCAACAGGTAAAATAAAGGTGAATTGATGCGGAGGAATGAGGGTGAATTTGTACTGATACGATGGGATCGGGTTGCATGCTGCAACAGATAAAATAAGAGTGGGTTGATTTGGTGAAATAAGGGTGAAATGTGATACTGATATTGTTATATGGTGGGATTGGGTTGCTCCCCACAACATATATATTTATTTTGATTGCGATATTGTTACGGTAGAATAAGGGTAGTTTATGTTGTACGGTGAGATCGGGTTGCACCCCGCAACAATCTATGCGATTCTATTTCCTTGAGTTGTGCTGGTTTTTGGTATTTTCACTTGAAACTTTAAGGATTAATAATTCTGATCGTCACTGGCTTATTTCTTGAGGCTGTAGCTATTATCTTCAGTTGACTATCTTATTTTGTTCCGTATTTTCCTTTTTCTGCCCTTTATATACACTGCATACAGGTTGTAGTGTAACTGACCTGCCTTAGCTTCGCCACTACTTTGTCGAGGTTTGGCTCCGCACTTACGGAGTACATGGGGTCGGTTTTACCCATAGTACACTCTGCACTTCTTATGCAGATTGTGGAGTCGGTCCCAGTGGCGATTATTAGCGTGCTCAGATTGGACAGCTTGTGAGGACTTGAAGTACAACTGCTCAGCGCCCGCAACCCTTGGAGTCCCCTTTCCTTTTTATTTGGTTGTGTACTTTCTTTTCAGACAACTTTATATTTATTTCAGACCCTTGTTTGTACTATTCTAGTAGCTCGTGCACTTGTGACGCCGGGTCCAGGGTTGTATTAGACATTTGGCTTTTTTAGCTTCTGCATTTTACTTTTGATTTCTGCAGTTATTTCAGTTCTTTCTCTTTATTTAATCTAAATTGTTGAAAAATAGGATAAATTTTTCTAACATTGGCTTGCCTAGTAAGTGAAATGTTAGGCACCATTACGGTCCCGAATGTAAAATTTCGAGTCGTGACAGAAACCCTTCGGAGCTTTAAGTGATCTTATTGCAATTTAGGCTAACTCTCATCTTTGAAGAACCTATATATTTCCATATCGTACCCTTCTCCATCTTTGCTTGAATTAGTAAGGGCAGCTGGTGCACGAAGCATTCTGATTTCATGCAAGGTTTGGGGAAGGATAGCACCCTACAATAAGTGTAATTTGTAAGAGCAGTCCGATGCACGAAGAACTCTTAGCAATAATGTTCTAGGTCAGCAATAATGTACTAGGTCATCACTAAGGGTGGAATTCTTCCATTCTTAACTTAAGATTTCATTTAATCTTTCACTGATACTGTATATCTCCGTTTTAAAATTTCATATCTTTCGCTACTCCTATATAAATCAATTACAACTAATTTTTTTTATCAAGCTCGACTTCCCAATAAATAAAATGTGCCGCAGTTAGGTTGACTGAAACCTCTGCAAAGCTAGATCTATAATTAGCTTAATATTTTTTGGCGAATCTCGTTATATATAAATAATATAATATATCTATATTATCATCACAAATATATCAAAGCAAAGTAATGGTGATAAATTTACCAGGAAAGCAAAATGTAATATGGGATAAAACACTTATGGCTAAGTGTCAAACGATTAAAATAATTGACCGAAATTCTAGAAATATATTGGATATTAATCAATCGTTTGGTGAAAAATTAATAATTTGGAAGGTAATTTCTGTAAAGTACTATCATTACTTCCAAAATCGACAAAAACAGAGACCGGTAAAGGCAAACGGAAACATTTGCATGAGAGGAAGACGTGGGCATGCAGCACCAAAGAAACTCTTCGCCACGTCTATGAATACATGCAAATATATGCTGCTGGAAAAGAACACTTAAATTTGTTTGGACGCAAAACGCAAATTGTCATTTCGATTCTTTTGCAGAAGCATTCTGCGCGAGTAGTACTGGCCGCAGCATAGCCATCTTAATTGGCTTCTTCTGTGAGCAAGAGTGACTACTCAATGACTTAATAATTAATCATATCATCCATTAAATACTAATTGTCACATATAGGATAATGCATAATTAACTATACTTACTAAGTTACAGAGGCTACTTACTATTCTATTTCAAATGGCCAAATTGGGATTGGTACTTGCAAGCTGAGCACGAATAATGCATATTTTACTCTGATAAAAACAATACTAAATCTCATTTCCTAATTATATTGAAGTGATTCTTTGTCAATTTTATTTTAATATATTGTCATTTTGATATACACGAGAAGAATTTCGAGTAGCTTTTTTTAGATTTAATACTATCTGTAGCTTCTTTTTAAAGATTTAATACTATCTAAATTTCACCTTACGAAAAATGAGTTTAATCTACTCCATATAACTCTCCATAAGCAATGAAACTAACGGATGTATGGGTGGAAAAAGGGCATTACACGTGGAATGTTAGTATGCTGACGAAGCATGACGCGTGGATCAGTAATATAGCGGCAAGTGGTGTTCTCAATTAATAGAATTAACTGAGAGAGGAAGGCACGGGAGAAACACCCACGGGACAGTACAAAGAAGAGAATCGGGCCTAACAGTTGCCAAAGAAAAGGCATGGACGAAATGAACAAGAATCAAAAATAAGGGAAGATGCATGAACTGGAAGTCAATAAGGAAGGGGAATCAGAATAGTTATTATAGGGTATTTATAGCAATAAATACGCCAGTTACGACTATCTGTGGTAATGAGAAATCAACACAATTAACGCCCATAATAAACCAAATTATGTGAGAAAACCGTTATGATTGTACACTCCTATATAAGGATACAAAATTTTATTTGTAAGGACAGATCCCAAGTGCTATTGAAATAGTATATTCTTTACTTCTTTGCTTTCTCGAAGTTCTCAGCCTTGATTTTATAATTTGACCATCAATTTATTCCTTATTTCTTTTAATAAGTTTTCTCTGCCATTCTTATTATTTTCCTTAAATATCATTGTGAAAGTGAAGTAAAAACCTGGTTATTGGTAACCCGTTTTCTTCTAAATATAGACTTTGATTGAGAAATCTATTTTTTGGTTAAACAAATTGGTTCCATTACCGAAAATTTGGTAATCTTTTCACTTTCCAAATTCTCTTTGTGACAACCAACCATGTCAATTGTCAACGAAAATAACTAGCTGAACCCACAGGAGGGAGGAACTCCACCAACCCTTCTCCACAAGGATCTCCTCAATAGTCCCGTGAGGGGTCACCTGAAAGATCAACATCACACACGAATAATCATCAATGGGAGCAGACTGTCGAACAATACGCTTTAAAACAGTTGATCGCAGAACACGTGAATAGTGTTAGGGGATTGCCAACTGCACTGCTAACTCCTACTCCAAACAATACCGCAACCATAGAAAACCCATGCTCGGGGCTTGCCAATTCTGGAGTAGAGGAACTCCCAATGAATCTCGTGATGGAAGGTCAGATACACCAAATAATTCTGATTTACAAAGTTTGGTACTAACTTTGCAGAAACACCCAAAAGAGTAAAATGATTGCATAGAACAAATACCTGGCGTACCTCCCATGATTAAAGGAGTAGATAATAATATATATTCACAACAGCCCTGGAAGCCAAGTGCATCACCTTTGCCGATTCCTAAAAAGTTTAAAATGCCTAATATTCCAAAATATGATGGAACAACTGACCCATGAGATTACATAATAGCGTTTACAACTGGCATGAAAGGCAAAGATTTAACCAAGCAAGAAATCGAATCAGTTTTGGTTAAAAAATTTGGTGAAACACTCACGAAAGGAGCATTAACATGGTGTTCTCTCTTACTCAAAAACATTATTGATTCGTTTGCCGAGCTTGTAGATTCATTTATAAAAGCATATTCGGGAGCTAAAAAAATTAAAAAATGATGGAAGACATCTTTAAGGTAAAATAAGGAAACACAGATACTCAGAGAGTTTGTGAATAGATTCCAACGGGGAGAGGATGATGTTACCACAAGTACCTAACAATTAGGCAAACCTGGTGTTCGCAAGCAATCTAAACTAGAAAAGTTCAGAAGCCACAAGGAGAATGAAGGAAAGTTTGCGAGAATTTCCAGCAACAACTTGGAATGACGTGTACAACAAATACAACACAAAGCATCGGATAGAAGAAGACAGGGTTGCACAACCAATGTTTGATGAAAGAGCAGGGCCAAGACATTCAGAATCAGGAAAAAGGACCGGAAAAAACAAGTACGAGCATTATATGGGTCCTGCAGGTTGAGATTCTCGGTCCAAACAGGAAAACTTACAATCAGAATCGAGATCAAGACAAAAAGATGCGGGTTCTTCATCTAAATTCAGAAAGGTTCGGGATGCAGGAGGTGACAACTCCAGCACACATGTTAGAGTCGGAGATTACAGTTTTAATGTCAGTATCTCCGAGTTGGTAGCCGTTTTAAAAGGTATGGGAGATAAGGTACGGTGGCCTAAAGAAATGAGATCAGACCCAAGGAAAAGAAATCCAGATCATTGGTTTGAATTTCACAATGATCATGGCCATAGAATAGCAGATTACTGGTTACTACAAGGAGAGGTCGAGAATTTATTGAAGCAAGGCTATCTAACTGACCTGTTCAGCGAGAAAGGTAGACAATCATATATGAAGAACAAACAAGAACCCCCAAAACCCATATCTCCAGAAACAACTGTTAACGTAATAACCGGGGGAGATGAGGTCAATGGTGTGACTTATACAGCTACAAAAAAGACGTCAAAAGTCACAGTCACTCATGGGAAGCGAATACGCCAAGCCTTGGAAGGAGAGAGTATAACATTTGATGACGAGGATGTGGACGACTTGATGATTCCTCACAATGACGCACTTGTAATATCTTTACTTGTACATGATACTAACATAAAACGAGTTTTAATTGACCCAGGCAGTTCCGTGAATATCATTTTACTAAGAGTGGTAATGAAATACAAGCTAACGATAAGGTGATACCAAAGGCATAGTCTTTGTATGGATTTGATAATTCAAGCGTTATCAAAAAAGTGGAAGTAGTGCTTGCTATGTTTGCAGAAGGGGTTACCAAGGACACAAAGTTTCAGGTGATAGATGCAGATATGACTTATAATATAATCTTGGGAAGACCATGGATTCACAAAATGGATGATGTACCATCCACAATGCATGAAGTTATCAAATTTCCTTCATAGTGGGGAATTCGTCAAATCCGTAGAGATCAACAAGCTTCTAGAAATATCAATTCGGTGGTGGCTACCAGCACGGTAAATGAGGTTGCAAGCAAAAGGTAAAAGTTATAGAGTTCAGTTGAGGATGTTATAGTACAAACCTTAACTGAAGGCATTCCAGGACAAACTGATGTTGATTCGAGATCTGCTGATATTCAAGAGCCAGAAGGAAATAAAAAATATTAAGACAACTACCGAAGAACTCAAAGTGGTGGTGCTATTTAAACACTAGCCAGACAGAAAAGTTTACTTCGGAGCAAACCTGAGCACAGAAATGAAAGTTAAGTTAATTGAATTTTTAAAAGCTAACGCAGATTGTTTTGCTTGGTCGCATTCAGATATGACAGGTATACCACCGGAGGTGATGACTCACAAACTGAATGAGGACCCATTATATCCACCTGTCAAGTAGAAGAAAAGGAAGCATGGATCCTTCTAAAATCAAGTGATCTAAGATGAGATACGAAATCTTTTAAAATTTAGATCAATAGGAGAGATAAAATATTCCAACTAGCTAGCTAATACTGTGGTAGTTCCAAAAAAGAGTGAAAAATGGCAAGTTTGTGTGGATTATACTGACTTAAATAAATCTTGTCCTAAAGATTCATTCTCTTTGCCGTACATAGATCAACTAATTAATTCTACCGCAAGACATGAACTGTTAAATTTTTTATATGCATAATCAGGATATAACTAGATAAAGATGGATCCTATAGATGAAGAACAGGGGGACTTATTTTTACAAAGTCATGCCCTTTGGTCTAAAAAATATTGGAGCCACGTACCAAAGATTGGTAACTAAAATATTTCAAGAACATCTGCGAAAGATTATTGAAGTCTACATTGACGATATGCTAGTCAAATCAGCATAGGCGGGAGATCATTTCCAACATCTGTCAGATACTTTCCAAATTTACCGCAAATACAATATGAAGGTAAATCCAAAAAAATATGCTTTTGGCTTATCTTCAGGTAAGTTTTTAGTTTTTCATATTTCTAATAGGGGAATTGAAGTAAATCCTTTATAAATCAAAGCTATCAAAGAAATACCGGATGTACTCACAAGCAAAAAAGAAGTGCAGAGATTAACAGGAAGAATAGTAGCCATGGGGAGATTTATTTCAAAATTATCGGAAAAGAATTTCAAATTCTTTTCAGTATTGAAAAAGTAAAATCACTTTGAATGAACTGATGAATACCAACAAGCCCTTAAGGACCTAAAATCGTATATGTCAAATCCGTCTTTGCTAACCAAACCAAAAAATGGAGAAAGGCTGCTTATCTACCTTGTTGTGTTAGAAGTGGCGGTAAGTGCGGTGCTCATACGAGAGAACAAAGGTAAACAATCTCTGATATATTATGTTAGTAAATCTTTGTTAGATGCTGAGACACGATACCCTCATCTAGAAATGCTTGCTTTAGCATTAATTATGGCATCTAGAAAATTGAGACCTTATTTTCAATGTCATCCTATCTCTGTAATAACTGCTTTTCCCCTGAGGAATATATTGTATAAACAAAAGCTATTCGGTAGGTTAGCTAAGTGGGCAATAGAACTCAATAAGTATGATATCATATATCAACCCAGAACTGCAATAAAATCACAGATTTTAGCATATTTCGTTGCAGATTTCAGCACGAATTTAATTCCTGAAGCAGAAAAAGAGTTACAAGTATTTACCAGATCTAATCCGGAGACTTGGATTTTATTTACTGATGGTTCCTCGAATGTTAAAGGAGCGGGCGTAGGTATTGTTTAAATTATGCCTTCAGGGGAAGTCATAAGACAAGCAATAAAATGTTATCCCATTACTAACAATGAAGCAGAGTACAAACCTGTGATTGCAGGCCTGGAATTAGAACGAGAACTTGGCATAGAACAGTTTGTAATCAAAAGTGACTCACGGCTAATAGTTAACCAAATGGAGGGGACTTACATAGCAAGAGAAGCATGAATACAACAATACCTGGAAAAAGTACAGGAATTAGTCAGACAATTTCAATCATGGAAGGTTGTCCAAATACCCAGGGAGGAGAATGCTGAGGCAGATGCATTGGCCAATCTCACGTCTGTTACGGAGATGACAAATCCAGAAAATGCTATTGTAATACATTTGTTTCATTCGACACTCGACCAAGACAAGCACGAGGGGAATTTTAATAATTTAACTTGGGATTGGAGGAACGAGTTTGTCAACTTTTTTTAGTATGGAATCTTACCCGAAGACAAAAAGAAGTCACAAATACTTCGCCAAAAAGCCACCCGGTATTGTTTAATTCGTGGAAACTTATACCGAAAGATGTTTGGTGGACCTTTAGGGAAGTACATGAGAGGAACTGCGATAATCATGCTGGGGGAAGATCATTGGTGAAGAATTTAATAAGAGATGAACACTATTGGCCAAAAATGGGGGAGGAAGCAGAAAACTTTGTAGCCAAGTGCGATAAATGTCAACGATTTGCCAATAACATGCATCACGCAGCAGAATTGTTACATTTAGTTATCTCGCCATGGCCTTTCATGAAGTGAGACATGGATATTGTAGGTCTGATACTTCAAGCTAAAGGAAAGGTACAATTTCTATTAGTTTTAATTGATTATTTTTCAAAATGGGTAGAAGCAGGAGCTTTCAAACAGGTGCGAGAAAAAGAAATCAGTGACTTTATTTGGCAAAACATTATCTGTCATTTTGGAGTTCCAAAGAAAATCGTGTGTGACAATGGCCCACAATTCATAGGCACGAAAATCGTAGAGTTTTTTCAGAATTGGCAGATTAAACGGATTACATCTGCGCCTTACCAGTGTTGATACCCATTTTTTTTCATATATTTTTAATACATATATATACTTTCAAAATAGCACATATGCAGTTATAAGCATGCATAAGCGTTTTCATAATTTTTCTATAATTTTTAAAAGCTCCAAATTGATTTATTTCTTCTTTTTTTATTTATAAAATTTCCAATAATTATCTTTCAAATTATTTTTGTGATAATTTAGTCATCTAAATTCTTTATTTATGCCAAAATAGTGTTTAAATATTTTTAGTGTATTTTTATAATTATATTTACATTTTTAGGCTAAATTGCACATCTTTGCAATAATAGCCCTACTAATGCATAATTGCATTATTGATGCATAGAATGGTCTTTTATATTTTTAAAATATTAAAAAACTATTTAAATCATTTTAGTACATGAAAGTAATTTTTTAGAAATTATTTATTATTTTTATAAATTATATAACAATTAAAAGTAGCTATTTAAAATCTAGCCTATTTTATTTTCAATTGCAGCCCCAATTTAACCCAATTACCAGCCCAAACTCTGAGGACCCGATCCGGCCCCAATACACTTTAATCGCGGTCATTGATCATAAAGATCAACGGCCACAAACGACCCTTCCTAAAATAAACCCAAAAGAACCCCTCCAAACCCTACCATTCTACACTACCCGCCGCCCTGAAACCCCTCTTTTCTCTCAAATGCTCTCAAACCTAACTCTAATCAAACCTCACTGACCCTCGTCCATGGTTGTCTACGACGATCTCTCACCACCCCAGGCCTCCCATGGCCTCCCTCATGGTAATCTAGCCATCTCTAGGGCCCTCAAGGGACCAGGGCTAGTTGACTTGCATCTATGGTTCCTCTCTCGCCTGTTTCAGTCCATTCCATTGTGATTCTGAGTAGATCATCCTATATTGCCTACGATCTATGGGTTTCTCAGTATGTTTCTTCACCTCTGTGCCATTCTCTTCGAAACCCTAATTTCTTTTTCTGAACCTCTTAGATATGTATAGATTTGAGAGGATCTAGACTTGTTTCATGTGAGTTTTACAACAAACTTGAGATTCTTTACAAGAATCATATGATTTTAAGTTATTTTCATCTTTTTCTAAACTAGGGTTTTCGAAATTTCTTCTTACAAAATATTTAATGATTTTTTTAGTGTTGGATCTTCTGCTTCTCATATGTTTTGACTGATTTTGTAAGTTTGCCACAACCCTAGCTCGCTTGTACTAAAAGCCCTAATTTTCTGGTGTTCTTCGTTTGGTTTCTGAGTACTGGTACATCTGATTGTGTTCTTGCTTTGAGTTTTTGTGATTTCTCGTGATTTTTCTTGTCCTAATATGCTTCTACTGAATTTCTTAGTTCAACTCTTTCATTGATTCTATATGCTTGTGTTCGTCCTGGCCATTCATGTTAAGACCTGCATCTTTCTCCTTGAATCAGTGTCGTCTAACGTTTTGTTTGGTTAAAGTGATGTGTCGATTCCTGACTATTCATGTCTCGCCTTATTTTATATGCTAAAATTGCTGACTCTTTCATGACTTTCTCTTTGACTGAACCCTTGATTATTCTGAATTCCTTATTTCCTAGTTTAATTTGAACACTTTCCGTTAAACTTTCGATTCATACCTCTTTACTCGATTTGATTGAATTGCCTGCCTTAATTAATTTTCCCTTGCCTTGTTTGTATTTTGCTGATTCTTACTGATTTGTTTCCTTAGTTGAAACTTCTGTTCATTTACCCCTAATTACCTAATCTATACCCAAACCTTACTTGATTTTTCCCTTAAATACCTAGCGTGCTTTTACCGTTGATTTGATTGTCCCTTGATTAAGGAAAGTACTTGTTGATTTATATATGACTTCCCTGATTTGCTACTTAATCGATCTCTTACCTTATTTGTTAATCTTTTGATTACTATATAAACCCCCTCTTATTTTTATTTCTGGACAACGAACACTAGTTCATCTACACTATCATACTCTCAAAAGCTCTCTAATCTCTTCTGTTCCTTGCAATTCTTATTAGTCCAGTCGGCTGTAAGCCATGGCTGGCTACTTGCATCATCTCTACTCTGTAGTCTGTATTCTCTCTTAACTGGTATGTTCTAATTCAATTCACATTCCAAACTATGTGCTTTCTTTGTTGTTGTAGTTCATCAATTTTTTATTTCCAGTTCTATGTGCTATTCTACTTAGTATGCAGTAAGCATGCCTAGATTACTGTATCACAAAGCATGTTTAAGCTTATTCTGTTAAAGGCTATAGTTGTTATACTGTTTGGCATGCCAATCCTGCTTTATATAATTGGTTCACTAGCATGTCCCAAGCTACATTATGTGTTTATGATTTCACCTAGCATGACCAAATCCTGCATGTTCTTTATATGACTAGTATTTCTAAAACCTTGAATGTTTCATGAAGTGTTTGTCTAGTTTGTTCATCTAAGTCCATCTTGTTCTATTTCACTAATGAGGTCCTATTTGTGTCTAAAATATCTGTGCTCTCAACTTAACTTTGCAACTACAATCTGTGTATTTGTTTTCCATCCCTAAGGTGCATTCTAGGTGTCCCCTGCCCTTTCCCTTGGGTGAAGTCTGTGTGTTCTATGACTTGCTCTCTATTGTTTTTTTAAAAATGTTCTTTATGTTTTTCTCAAACTATTTCTAATCTAACTATGTTCGGGTTTTCATAAAATTCTTTCCACTACTAAGACTTTCTACTATTTACCAAACTCTTCCAAAGTCATTATGCACTCTCACTTTACTCTTAGAATACTAGGTTTTACCCCTCTGATATGTGTACTGCCTTGAGGTCCTTAAGATCTCTCTGAACTCTCATATGTCAGAGCTGGCCTTTCCACACTGCACCTAAATCAGTTATCATTTGAGAAAAGGTCTAGTTGTGAGCACTGCCTGGGATCCTTGAGGTCCTTAGGGAACTCTGACACACCTAGACATGAAATTGGCTATGGAATTTTGGCATTTGAGGCTATTGGAGGCTTGTTAAGTCATTTGGTCCTACTACAGGCTCCCTATAGATTAATTCATGTTTATTTATGTATTTTTATTTAATTCGTTGGTCTATAATAATTTTGTAAACAACATAGGGGTAATTAGTTAAATGGGGTGGGTAGTTATGTATATGCCGGGTAAATTGGGTATATATCATGCCTATAGGGTTGTGTTAATTCAAATGTGTTTGCCATGTTTGCTTTACTGCCACAATATTAGGAACCATGCCTATAGGATCTAAATGGCTTTAACAATAGAGATCATGTCTATAGGATTAAAATTGGCCTTATAATTAGATATCATGCCTATGGAGTGTAAAGTAGTTGAGGTTCAGTTTTCGTTACAGCACGTATTCACATTCGTCTCCTTAGAAATCATGCCTATAAGTTCAAAAGCCAGCTTTTAATAATTAGATGCCATGCCTATAGGAATTAAAATCAGCTCTAGTAAAAATCATGCTTATAAAACTTGAAACCAGTTTAGTTAAATAAATTAGTTTAATTCATGTTTGTTCATTCTGAATTGGTTTAATTAATCTACCCGTTTCTTTAATAAGTTTTCAAACACTGCCTTAAACTAATACTGCTAGAAAGCATGCTTATAGGATTTCAAGCTGTCATTTAAAAAATATTTTTACTGTTTTACTGCATTCCTAATCAATATAGATACCATGCTTTTAAGACGTCACTATTATGCGTTTAGGCAAGCCTGTAGGTGAGTAAAATTCTGCAATCATAAAACTGCGCTTTGTTATTTCAAATTGCTCACATTCTCAGGTATAAAATCGGTAGGCAAGCTAATAGGTCTTTGACACTTGGTCCTAATTCATGCTATATACTTCCTGCTCACCTAGATATCATGTTCTAAGTTTTATTAAATACCTGAAACATTTTTTTGAGACATGCATTTATTTGTTATGCTTGTGGAGGTAAAATGTGAACCATTATTTGTTCCTTCTTTATGCAGTCCTAATTATTTTGATTGGCGCCTAGACTTTTCTCCTTTAAATAACTTAGGATGGTCTAGAACTGCCCAAAAGTAGAGGTCCTAAAATACCTCTAGGGCCACGAGGAAGGGACAGGTAGTGCATGCATAGGACATTTTCAAGGTTGCTAGAACGCTTTAGGCTATGACCAAGGGGAGGGAATTGGGTAGTAAGGATATGATGACTACGCGTTAATGTCACGTGTGGCCCCTCATTGAGGAGTGTTTACCGGGCACTGTGTGGGGTAATCCTGTAGGCTAACAAACCTAGGACCCCTCTTTCCAGTTCCCGATGTTTAAACTTTACTTTTCTCTATATATGTTCAACTTGTTAAAAGTCTTTTCCTTTTGTCTCATTTCTTGATTTATACAATGTCCACAAACTTGTCTTTATTTGCAAATGTGTGATTAAATTATTTATTTGTTAAAAGGACTAATTCATAAGTATAAGTTCGGCCGGGACCTACCATTGTGGACCGCGACGGGTGCCTAACACCTTCCCATCAAGGTTATTTCGAGCCCTTATCCTAAATCTCTGGCAATGCAAACTAGTCTAAGAGTTAATCGCTCTAGGTGACCTAACGCACCATAATCCGTTAGGTGACAACTCTTCAAATACCCAATACCCAAAAGGAAATGAGTTATTACCCCCGTGAATGTCGAAACCCGAACTTCTCTTTTCGCGGAGGGAAAAAAAGGGGGCATGACAGCATGTAGACTCTGTTGGGGATACCTTTAGGCTCTTACCATAACGAGCTTATCTTTTGTGAATTAGTCCAAGCATGCCTTATCCTGTATCCTTTCCCCTTATTTGGATTTAACTATCTATTTTTTAAGCATTTATGAATCTTTTATTCCTGAAATTGACTTGTCTCTTTATTTTCTTTCTGTAGCTGTCTTTCAATTATTTAAATAATGCATTTATTATTTTCCTACGTGCAAATACTTGACTACATGCTATTTATTGCTGCATAAATCATGCTCCACATCATATTCCACTCGTACGTATTAAATCTTATAGCAATGCTTGATTAGTGGTTTCACTCTTCCTATTTATTACCCTTATATTCGGAAAGACTTATTTGCGGTAAAACTAGCCGATCAGCAGTGCAGTAGACGGTTCCGTGCCTTTCCCCCTTAAGTTGTCCGTTTGAGGGTACCAGTCTAGACCCTCGTAGTAACCTTACTCTGATTGAAATTATGCATGCATCATGGTCAAACCTAGTTGGATTAATATGTTGTCCACATAATAATCCTTTAAGATGAGCCTTATCCAAAAGTCCACCAGGGTTTCCATAATCCCAAGGGGCCCAACCACATTCTGTGCATTAGTTTGGAGAACTAAATGTCAATATGCTAATCATGAATATATAAATAGTCGAGTCTGGTGGGGGAGAATGACCTAACCCTTTTGTTTTGCAGAAAATAAGGCACGAGGTCCCTAGATTCGGTATGGTCAGCAACATCCCACCATTGCTGCTAGATTGGTGAGATGACCTTTCCTCAAGCGACAAGAAACATGTAAGAAAGTACTTGGGTAACTTGCCTTCTCTACTAGACATTGAGCCAAACAAAAGGTTGATCGAGGCTGCCACTTTATTCTGGGATAGTGAAAGGGTTGTGTTCTGCTTCGATGACATATAGATGACACCACTTCTAGAAGAAATTGGAGGGCTTGCGGGATTGACTTGGGACAACCCCGAGTTATCGGTGCCTGAGAACCGTACTGGTAAAGGGTTTTTAAAGATGTTGGGGCTGGAGAAAAATACTGACCTTGTATGCCTGATTTTTTGTTAAAAAAAAACATAGTCTGAAAAATATAATTTTATATATTTATTAATATTACTACTTTCTAATATGTTTTAAATTATACATATAATATGACAAATTTATAAGATTTTCTTCATTGTAAAGATATGAATTATTTTTTCTACAAAAAAAAGAAGGTTATCTTTTTACCATTTTAAGAATTAAGTGTACGGAAATTTTTACTCTTTACATGAGATTAGGAAAATTTGAAGTTGAAAAAATATGTATTTATTTTTATATGGATGTTTTAATGAAATAATAGTATATATACTTAGCACTTTTTACATGGATGTTTTAAGTGGAGCCTAATGTCTGGAGCATTTTTATCTTATCAGACACATCAGGTGTTTAATCACTTAATACTTATTCGGTTCAAATGGTAACAGCATTTCTTGCAATCGTATACTATTCTTGTACTTCACACTTTTGGTATGAAAAAAAATAGTTCTTTGTGAAAGAAATTGATTGTTAAGTAACTGCAAAGAAAATAGAAATTGGCTTCTCCAGATGTCTGCACAACAGTTTGCATTATTTCACTGATTTGTTTAAACTATCTTCTACCAAGTATTCAAAGATGATGTCTTGTTAATGTTTCTCACATATAATACTATGGCTATTAGAGGGAAATCTGGTCTTTTTGTTGAGATTTCTGATGGTCTAGGGATAACGGTAAACTTAATAACTTATAGTTACTTAAATCAATAATGCTAGTCTTGGGTGATTGAGATGTCCAACCAGTGTATTCTTTTTTGCCCAGGTAAGTTGATAAAGTTTGTTTCATGATATTAATCAGAGGTATAATGGTCTTATGACGTTTCGAGNACTATACGATGATGATGTTTCCCACAGTGGCCGAGATAATATGATGGGATGCCCTCAGAGGCTTGACGATGTTATGAACACATATACCTATGCACGACATGACATCCATACACATTGCATGATACTATAAGTATTTCATAATTTACAAAGTTATCCATACTTACAGGTTAAGTCTTTTACAACATATTTCTTCCATGCCCTTTATATATTTATTTACATGCCTTACATACTCAGTACATTATTCGTACTGACGTCCTTTTGTTGGGGACACTGCATTCATGCCTGCAGGTATAGATAATCAGTTTGACGAGCCCTCATAGTAGACGAGATTGGCATTCAGCGAAGGATCGGTAAGACTCCACCTCATTCGGAGTGCATCCGAGTCTCTGAGTCATCGTGTTAGAGTTTTGCTACAGGCTTATGGGTGTCGCGCTCCCTGTTTCCTTTGCGGAATCGGGTTTATGACATTTTGGTTGGGACAACTCTTTCCTTATGGGAAATGGGGTTCGCAGTTTGAAGAGTCATCACCTAACGATTTAAGGTGCGCTAAGGCACATATAAGGTTTATTTATAACTACGCTTGGTAACCAGAGATAGGGTAAGGGCTTGAAATTATCCCAAGGGGAAGGTGTTAGGCACCCCTCAGGACCCACAAGTGTGTTTTCCGGCCAAACAGTTTTTTGTGAATGTGTACAATTAGCAAATAAGCAAGTATGGCTCAAATAGTAGGGGATTTAAGTTTAAATACACAAGTGTTTGAAAAAAAATCAGTGAAAAGCGAAATTTTGAAAAGAGTTACAATCTAAGCATATTCGGAAATGTAAAGGGGGTGTCCTAGGTTTGTTTATAATATGGATCACATCAATGAAATACCCGGTATGACACTCCTCAAAGAGGGGCTACACGTGGACAAACAGTGTTCCAATTATCAAGGTTACTTAGAGAAGACTGTTTGAATTGTATAACCAAACATGCTATTCTAAATGTTCAGAATTCCGGAATTATTACCAGCTGGGTTAATCTATTTGTTTTTAATAATTAAACTAAATATTCCTAAGCGAATGTGAATGCAATTATAAAGGCATGATATTTGTTACGCGGCGCCTTCCTGAGATTCCTTGGAAGGGCGACGTAAGACTAAGCAACTGATGTCAGTGCAGTTGTTGTCCGCCAACTGAGGTCCCCTCCTTATGCTAGACTAGATTGTCAGTGTCGTACGGGAAAACCAATGCCAAGAGCAATTAAGAGAACAGGAATGAGAATTGAGAATGAAAGAAAGCTTGATTGCATTAATGAAAGCTGTTACAGAAAGGCAACGCGGTGTCGAGGGGGAGAGACACCAGTACAGAGAATTGTTTGCTTGCTAGAAAGTTTGATTGCTTGATCCCCCCTAATAATGCTTAAAAAAAATAATCCAAAGCTACAAGACTAGACTTGATTAAGCTAGAGAAACATAATGGAAGTACATGGAATAAAACTACTCTATATTTACAATGAAAAAGACTTAGTTTGCTATAAGGCAGAAATAGGTCCGTTGACAGCAGCATAGTCTTTGGCATCTGGGTCTGCGCGCGCGGCGCTGTTGGCATCTGCCTGCGGTTCGGCGCTGACGAGGGATATCGGTGGGGAGACAGAGGCACATGCGCGGGCTGTTCGTGGCGCTAGGCATTGGAAGGCTTGCTAGGACGCCACGGGGCGCGCCTAAGGGGTCATGGGGCACGGTTGAAAAGCCGCCCATGACATTCTCCCCCACCTGAGTTGGCGACGTCCTCGGCGCCTTACTTGCAAGATAATCTTCAATTAGGCTCTTGTAGGCTTTGAGGTTTGTTCCCCTCTCCCAAGTGTTCTCCTCTG